AATGTGAACATTCACATCATTATACACTGATGTGAATGTTCACATCAGTGTCTACTAATGTAAGTTTATCCAGATAATGAACAGTATTGTGAATGTCCACATCATCTAGTTTTACAAATTCAATTCCGAAAACATTATATGTTTTATAATTCAATTCCGAAAACAACAACAATTATAAGCAATGTAAATGTATAACATCGGTGATCACATTATGATTGAAAAGTAGAAGGTGGAATGGTATTACTTACTTTTGTTCCTTATGGTGGTGGGTATAGACCACACTCAGTGGATGAAATAAACTCAATTCAACGACAGAAATTTCGAACAACGAAGCACCCTCCTTCCGATGTGAACCTTCACAGTAGTGAGATGAAGAGGAATCTGGGTCGACGGTGAACGGGGACGACAACACGATGGTGAGGCAATGTAAATCTGGAGTCGACGCTCAGTTTTTGTTTTGAAATTTTGTGGATTGAATAGTTGGAATGGAAATGGGTTTTGCAGAATCGATTACACGCGGGAGAGGCGCAGGAGAGTTATTTTGTCATTTTAACAATTAATGGATCTAATGAAATATTCAAAAATAATTTGAATTTTATAGAATAAAATAGTTACAAATAAGATTTATCAAAAAAAAAAAAAAAAACTCATTTTTTTTATTGGTTGGAGGCCTTTTCTAAAGAAAAATAAAAAATAAATAAAGTAAAAGAAAAAACAGAGATTTATCTCTTTTTCGGCGGAGCCGTTGATTGCGGTTAGGAATAAAGCGTGCGGAAGTGGGGCCCACTGTTTTTTTGACCAATTTGCCAATTTGGCTTTTCACTTTTGTTTTTCTGTTTATTTATTTTTATTTTTTTTAGTAATTATAAATAGGAGACTACTTAACAGTGGATGGAAAAAAAAATTACAAAAATATTATAATACAAATGATTCTGTACTGTGAGTAAAAAATTATAGGGTGCAAGACTTGCATTCCTCCATGTTTAAGTTTTTTTTTTTTTTTTTAAGCAATTTTTCTTTATAATATATCCTTTAAAATTTACTTAAAACACAAATTATTTATGTAATTCTAACAATTATAAATGCCTTATTTTCAATTACTTTTCTATACAAGAATAAAATTATTAGAATAATAAATTAAAATATATATCTGACATCATTAAAAATTATATACAAATAAATTCTTTAAAAAATATTATAATTTTCATTAAAATAAAATAATTCATATTTTAAATAAATATTAGGGATTGTATTTCTAATTTACTCTTTTTTTTTTTTTTTTTTTTTGATTCAAGGATTAATGTTGAAAAGTGGGCATTGTTTTGGATGATATTACGCGGATCTCACCATGCCCATTTGACTGGTTGTAAAAGTATTAGATTTATCCCTACTGTTGTCGGTTGGTTATTTTTTAAAATAAATATATATTAAAATATTAGAGGTCTTAAAAATTTAAAAATTCTATTAAATATCTTACATAGGTGTGAGTTCTATACCGGTATAAATTATTTGATAATGGGTGTGACAACTCAAAATATTTGATAAAAATTTTAATAAATTTTTTAATATCTCTAACATTACTCAAACAAAATTGAAACATAGATTAAATAATGACAAAAAATATTAAGGGGTAAGATTGAGGAGTCAGGATTTCATGGGTATCGTTTGTCGGGTTGCCGGGTTCTCCAATCGAGTTACCAGTCAAATATGTGCCAGTCTTCTCCGCACACCCCACCCACATGTATAACATTCATCTCATTTTTGCATTTTTTTTTTTTTGGGTTCTTTTTGTATTGCCTCATTTTTACATTTAAACTTAGAGTAATATTATTCAAATTAACCTCACACACACACACACAAAAAAAAGTTCAATAACATAAATTGTTTATATTTTATTATTAAAATAATTTATATTTAACTTTTAAGATTTTATCTTTACATATATATCACATTTGTTGGTAAAATAAGTTTACAAAACAATCAGAGCATAAACAATACTTTTTCTCTTCTCAAATTACAACGAGAATCATATTTCTCATGAAAATTATTCATTTTTCCATGCAATTTGAGTAATGAAATGCCTAGAACAAACCTGCTTAGTGGTTGTAGGAAATGATTGGATCCTACTAAACTTTCACTTTAGGGTGTTTTAATTAGTGAAGGGGATAAAAACAAAATTTTCAACTTAGCAAAAGAACAAAAAAGAAAAACCAAGTAAAGAAACGGGGGAATCTAGATAAAGGCTTTATTTATTGGTCAACTAATGTTGTGTTTGGTTAAAAGATTTGAGGAAAGATTTGAAAAAGAAAAAAGAAAAGGTGTGTGAAACTATGTGAAATATAAGCATGTTTTATTCACATTTCACATACTTTTTCTATTACCCTTTTCAAAACCCTCCTCAAATCTTCCAACTAAACACAACGTAAATGACTCAAAATCAATGTAAGATGAACACATGATATAAATATATGTACACATATTTTTCTTTTGAAGAGCAAAGAATATTTGTATCGAATAAGGAAAAATACATTCAAGGATATTATAACTTGCCTCAAAAATGACTAAAATTACATAATCCCCCCCCCCAAAGAGGACTCACCTATTGTGAGATGATTAATTTTCATCCTCACTATTTGAGGGTAGAGAGCTCACATGGCTAAGACATTGCACTTGAGCTTATTTAGTCGAAGGTTTGATAGTTAAGGGTGAAAGACCAAACTATGACTTTATATTCTCAGTCAAAACAAGTTGATAGAGTTCTATATCTACGTTATCATGCCCAGTTGTATAGCAACACGATGGGGGTGAAAAAAGAGAGGAGAATGATCAGTTTCTTTTGCTTCTGGCCTAACAAGCTTTCATTGAAAAATTCACACGATTAGCTATTAGCTCAGTGATAGAAAGTGCCTCTGATAATTACATCGTTGTGCTCCAAGATTTACATTTTTGTTTTTTCATTTTTGAATAAGAGAAAAATAGTTATATTCTCAATTAGCACAATTTTATTTTTTTTTTAATTATTGGTTAGAGAATATTCGATGTTATTAGAACACCATATGTCTTTACCCACCTATTATTCGTCAAATATCACTCCAATTGATGTCTAATATCAACCAATGTCTATTCTAGCAAACCCATCAATAGAAGGTGTGACGCTTGATAAATAATATGAAATAAAACCGTGTTATACTCTAAGCCCAAAAATACCTTTCTAAAATAAAATATAAAATAAAAAAAAGCTCTCCCAAAAATGAAATGTTACATGAGTATTTCTAAACACACTTTAAAAAGTATCTCATGAAAACCATTATTGTAGTAGCCCAATTCTCTTAACAAATCTTTTATTCAAATAAAAAAAAGTCTGCAAAATATATATAAGAATGATGTTATTATATTGTGACTTATCCTCTTAAAATAAAATACTTATTTAAATTACATTTAATTATAGAAAAATTATGAAGAATAATTTTCAAAACAAGAATAGGTATGGTATGGGGCACGTATGTCAGGTAGACATTGTTTGAAACTTTTTGACCCTCTTTCCACTCCTCATTTTCCGCTTTCTTGTTTTAGTAACTATCATACCCCAAAAACTCCAATTTAATTGCCAAGTGTTACTATCCACTAAAGTAATCAATTAAATTATCAAAAGACTAGTTGAGGTTTGATTCACTTACTAATTTAACTAATCTTTTTTCCTGATGATTTGCAGTAATTTCATACATTATTACTTAAAATAATGTTAAAATCTCCATCAATTTCTGTCATTTTATTTTATTATTTGATATGTCAATTTAATTATAAATACTTCATTAAAAATATCAAACAATATCAAAAACAGAGATTAAATAGAGAATGAGATCTATCACTTGTGAAACATTTATGTCCTAGTCTATATTTAATCATATATACTCTTATACTCATTGTAAAAATATATATGAATGTTAAAATTTATTATACTAATATTGTGTCAAAAAATAAAATAATAAAATGTGACATTTTTTTTACTATACATAACAATAGACCCAATACAGTCCAAACATCGACCCTTCCCATTACAGAGACGAACAAACCCACATGGCTCTGCTCTTTCTCAACCGTATACACCCCTAAAATAGCAATAAAATATTCACAAATTTATTACAATTATTGAATCACAACAAAAATAAAAACTCACATTTATTAATCTCTGGTATGGGGTGTATCATCACATTTATTAATCTCTGCCAATTTTCTGTGCAATTGGCATCTTCCCTCCCAAACTCCATTTATAGGGCCTTTAAGCTCTTCCCCTTCCCTCCCACCACAATCTCTCTCTCTCTCTCTCTCTGAGGGTCACTCTGTTTTTAGTGGGTTTATCAGGACTTTTAGCTGATAGATCTGACCAACATTGCCAATTTGTTCATATAAATACACATATACACCCTCTATACAGAACATCTCTGGGTACTCTTCTAGGTTTTGTTAATATACCCTCTATTGTTACTTACAATGCAGAGGTTTGTGAGACTCTGTTCCATGGCTCCTCTGTTTCTGCTTCTTGGTCTTCTTCCTCTAGCTTTGGCTGGCCATGACTATGGACAAGCTCTCACTAAGAGCATTCTCTTCTTCGAAGCTCAGAGATCTGGTTACCTTCCCAGCACTCAGAGAGTCCAATGGAGAGGCCATTCTGGTCTCAACGATGGCAAAGCCAATGGGGTATATATGATATCCCTCTTCCTCTGTTTTCTAGTCTAAATTTCTCTGATCCCCATTTGGGTGTTGTGTTTGAGACCCATTTTAGAGATAAGACAATTGTGATTTTGCAATTTGATGAAATGTTTGAATTGGGTTGTGGTTGTTGTTGTTGTAGGTGGATCTGGTAGGAGGGTACTATGATGCAGGGGACAATGTGAAGTTCGGGTTACCAATGGCTTTCACAATTACGATGATGTCATGGAGTATTGTTGAGTATGGGAGGCAAATGGCTGCAAGTGGAGAGCTCAGTCATGCCATGGAAGCTGTTAAGTGGGGCACTGATTACCTCATTAAAGCTCATCCCCATCCCTATGTCCTCTATGGAGAGGTATAGAAATGGCAAATATGTTTTCATTGCTTTTGTTTTTGTTCTTGTGGACTTCCAAGTTTTTGCTTAAAACACAGTGATTGCTATGTTCTCACCTAAACACATTCAAATCAATACATGAATTTGCTTTTATATTTCAATTTAGGTCGAATATTTGGATTTGATTTTGTGGGTTTCATTTTGTCTGTCATTTTCAATGGGATTATCTTTTCTAACTAAAACCAAATCTAGGATTGATGTATATATATATATATATATAATTATATAAATGTACGGTGATTTGTATAAAATTTGTTTTCATTGTTTTTGCTTTTGTTCTTGTGGGCATCAATTTGTTGCTTTAAACACACGGAATACTCTTTGGAGCAATTTTATATCAATTGATTGCTCTGTTTTCACCCAAACCCATTCAATGAAAACATGAACCTATTTTTTTTTTTTTTAACTTTTCAAATTAGGTTGAAAAATTAGATTTGGTTTTGTAGCCTTCATTCTGTCTTCTCGTGTCTTTTATCAAATAGAAAATATGTTTTCATTGTTTTTGCTTTTGTTCTTGTGGACATCAAGTTCTTCCTTAAAACACACGAAATACTCTTTGAAGCAATTTTTTATCAGGTGATGGCTCTATTTTCACACAAACCCAAACATGAAAACATGAATTTGTGCTTTTTTTTCATTCATATTAGATTGAAAAATTGGATTTGGTTTTGTGGGTTTTACTCTGTTTGTCGTTTTCAGTGGGATTAACTAGAATTCATTTATAAAGAATTATATAAATGAACAGCAATTTGTGTGATTTGTTTGATTTGGGTAGGTGGGTAACGAGTTTTGATGTGATTTCTGTTTATGTTTTTCAGGTGGGAGATGGGAACACAGACCACTACTGTTGGCAAAGGCCAGAGGACATGACCACTTCAAGACAAGCTTACAAGATCGACCCGAACAACCCCGGGTCGGACCTCGCCGGCGAGACCGCCGCCGCTATGGCCGCCGCCTCCGTCGTCTTCCGCCACCACAACCCCTCCTATGCCAATGAGCTCCTGACCCACGCCCAGCAGGTTCTCTCATATCTCTCGGGAAATACTGTGCACTGTATAATTAAAAAAATTTATAATTTTAATTTTTTGAATTATAATTAAAAATATATATTATAAATAAATTTAACATAAGATATAATTAAAAGTTGCATGAATCATCATAATTAAATAAAAAATTTATTATAATTAAAAATAATAATAATATAATTAAATATATATAGTATATATTTTTTAAAGGAAAATTTACCCATAAGTCCTACTTTCTGAAAAGTTGAACAATTTAGTCCTAAAAGTTTTCTTATGCTCCATTTAGTCTCATTTGCACATCAATCTAATGTTTAAAACATTAATCTGATGTTCGAAATCTAATGTTCGAAACATTAATCTGATGTTTGAAACATTGTAATGGGACCTTTCAGTCTATAAGAAAATTTTTAGGACTAAACAGTGTATAAGTTATTAATTTGGAATTTATTAGTGCATCCCCCAATAAAAGGTACATTAAAATTTTTCTATTGTCGGTGGGTGGTGGTGGGCTCATAGTGGCGTATGTTAGCAAGGAAGGGCGCGTAGGTTAGGATAGGTAGTTACGATTCGGCACTTTATAAGTGTGTGTGTGTCAGTCAGGCTGGTTGTTGTTTAGCAGTGTATTATGAAACAAATCTTTTTAATTTATAATATAATAAGGAAGAAACGATAACCTATTTTTTAGAAAAATAATGAAATTACTTTTATTGTGTTAAAAGACTAAAATGCCCTTACGAGAGAAATTTTAATTTGCATAATTTTTAATTTCAAATTCCAAATTTTTTAAAGTACAAAAAAAAAATAAATGTCTTTTTGTCAAACTCTTCTCTAATTGGTTTGAACATTCAATTTAAATTTTGTTGTAGAAATTGTCGGAGTCACACTAAAGTCTATTATTGTTGGATTGACAATCTGTCGCATAAAATTTAAAATATACGTTTCATTCAACTAGGAAGAAATTAACCCCTAACAACAAATGGGTGACATGGTATATATTTTAGGTCTTCATTAATAATTAAGAGGCTATGGTCAAGTTTGGCAACCTAAAAATAATTCATCTTTTTATCTTTTTTCTATAATATCACATCTCATCTTTATTTTTTTACACATCTTTTCATAAAAAGACAAAAAATATATTTATTTAGGTCATTCCAAATAATCTGTATACTGAAATTTTTTCTCTTTTTTGTTAGTGTTTTTTTCCTTTTATTTCAGTAGTATATTTTACTAATATTATTATTATGCTCTTACATTTTCTTTATGCTGTGATTGACTACCAAAATCTTATCCTAGTGAGATGCTTTTTACCCTAAAGTTTCACTTGAAATTAACAAAAGGCAAAAGACAATTTAAAAAAAAAAAACATTATGGGTGTGACCATGTGAGATATAGTTGTCTACCTCCATAATAATTTTACCAGTAATGGTATATTTAAAATTTTAAAGAAATTATAAAAGAAAATTCAGAATTTAACTTCTTATAATAAAATAAATTTTTTATTTTTAATTTATTAATTTAAATCTTAAATTTTTGATTTCTTTTTAGTCTAAATTATCCATCTATTTTCGTTATGTGAAAATGATAGAAAAAATATACTAAAGTCATTAAACTCAACAATATATATATATATATATATATATTTAAATATTTTATAAACACTTAAATTGAGTTTAATGATTAAAAATATTAAAATTTAAATTGAAAAAAATAAAAATTTAGAATTTATTTTGTTAATGAGAATTTTTTTTACCTCCCCAAAAAAGTTCTGATTTTTTTTAATAATTTTTTTCTAAATTTTTTATGTAGAATTTTAGAATTTAAATTCATTCTTTGTATCAACTCCAAAATATATTGAGGAAAAATATCATTTTGCCTTTCAAGTTTTCATGATTTTTTTAATTTGATCCTAGATTTTTTTTTTTTTTTTTTGGGAGACAAATTAATTTTAAAGTATAATTTGAAAGTAAAATGAAATTTTAAATTAACTGTAGTATTATGTCATTACAATCCGTTTATTTGTAGATAAAATATGACGATGAGGTTAAATTAATTAAAATTTTAACAATTTAAATATAAAATTTATATTAATCAAAATTTGAAATTTAAATTAAAAAATATGTAAAAATTTAAGAAACAAATTAATATTTCCTCAAATTATATTTGAGTATATCTTTTGGGGAGAAGCACAATTAAGAATGACTCCGTATTCGACGCCAAAGTTGGACGTCAATGTTTTTTTGTTCCTTGTAAAGGTACATTGATAACCTCACCTGCAATAATAATACAGGAAAATCTTTCGGCATGTAATTGGGATCTCGGTGGGGGCATCTTTACCGTGTGAATCACGCGTTATGTCTGCTAAACCGTCTGATCTGTGTTTCCCTCAGATCTCAGCCGTCCACGTTGACAATCCCCCCTAAAAAACGCTGTTTTTATTGTCTGTCACGTGAAACGACTCCGTGCTTGTTTGGCATGTATTATTTTAATTATTTTATTTAAATCACATCATCTCTTTATTACACTACTTCAAATTCAATTCATATTTTACGTTTTTTTTCTTAATGAGTCAAAAAATATACTAATCTAGCATTTTCTAAACAACCCTTACATTCGTCCTCTCGTACTATTTTGATGAAATTTTTTGGCGAAAAAGGGGCACACGTAGTGAGCAGGTGTGTTGTTATTAGGGTGTGCGCGGTGCAGTTCGGACAGTTTGAGAGAAATTACAAATCGAATGGCGGATTGGCGGGTTAACAAATTACGGTTTGGACGGTTTTTGACGGATTGGCGGATTGAAAAATATTTTAACTAATTATCATACATTTGCATAATATATAACACTAATTTGTATAATATTTTTTAGATATATAACACAAAATAATTTTAAATAATATGTTTCATATATATAACTATTAATTTGTAATAAATTTATATCTTAAATCTCTCTCATACTCATTTTTACATTGAAATTTCATTAGAGATTAAAAAATATATATGTATTAACTATAGCGGAGCGATGTGGTTCAGTTAGCGGATTATAAATTTTAAAATTTAAATCGCGGCTAGCAGTTAGAGCGGTACGGATCGGTTCACACAATAATTTTAAATAATATGTTTCATATATATAACTATTAATTTGTAATAAATTTATATCTTAAATCTCTCTCATACTCATTTTTACATTGAAATTTCATTAGAGATTAAAAAATATATATGTATTAACTATAACGGAGCGGTGTGGTTCAGTTAGCGGATTATAAATTTGAAAATTTAAACTGCGACTAGCAGTTAGAGCGGTTTTAACGAATTAAGCAGTATTTTACACAGTTCTAATTGTGATTGGTGGAGGATTTACGATTTTGTATTAATTTGATCGTGTTTGGTCAACGGCATGGTCACGTGGTATCTTTGAATCACAAAATAATTTTTCTATTTGGTGACAGATTATTATAATTGGTGAAGTGAATAGAGTCCGTAATTAGTGATTGGAGAGGGATATTGCGATGTGCCACCCCTGAGCTACCAAATAATTTTTCTATTAATATTTGTCCATTTCTTATTTTTCCATTAATTTTATTTTTCAGTTGGGCGTTGTTTGGAATATATTAAATTAGTCAAAGAGTCAAATACAAAAATCAATTTATTCCCTTTATTTTTTGACATTATTTTGTTTATAAAAATCAAAAATTCACTAAAAAAAATATCAATTCTAAATAGGGACGGATCCAGGATTTTGTCTTGAGAGGACTACTCTATAGTTTTAAAAAATTGAAAAATTACTCTATATAATTTTAAAATTATTTAGAAAAAAATTTGGAGTACGAATTTCTATAATTTAAGTTATTTTTAAAATTTTAATATAGTATATAATATTTTTCGAATTTTTGTTTAAAATTTTAATATAGTATATAATATTTTTCGAATTTTTGTTTTGTTGTGTATGCAGCTATTCGAGTTTGCGAACAAGTATAGGGGCAAATATGATAGCAGCATCACCGTGGCTCAGAAGTACTACCGTTCTGTCAGTGGATACGCAGTATGTGATCACTACTCTTTCTCACTAGTAACTATTGTCATGGGAAAGGGTTTTTTTGAAAAGATTGTTAAAAATTAATTTTTTTGACTTTTTTCTTTTTTGTAACGGAGTTTAATCCACTTTCTAAAATAAGTCTAAATTTTCAGTTCACAACATTTTATAAGATTTATGATTGTGTAGTTTTTAAAAAAATTTAATCTAAGTTTGTTGCTTTGCTTATAAAAAGAATTTCTCAAACAAATTATTAATTGATTATATTAGTAATTCTCTATCTTTGATTTCTTCTATCAATGACACACTCATATCATATCAAAATACTTGCATAGTTCCTACGTCATTTTAAAAAAATTAATCAAGATAAGAATGTCATAATATTATAAAAATTATATAAGAGAATAGTTTTAATCCATTTTATAAATATAAAAAAATGATAAAAAAATTATTTGAATTGTACTTGAAAAAATATAACAAATGATAGCTTTAATCATTATATACCTCAAAAAAAATTATATCGGTTACTTAACGAAAAAATGGTCAAATACAAATAGAGTCATGAACATTGAATTAAATCATATGGGCTCTAAATAAATTGATAGTATAATCTAGCAAATCAACTAATTAACATAGAAATATTGACAAATATGTAGTGCTTCCCTATCATCTTTGTGTTATATTCATTAATTTCATATATTATATGAAAGTTTTATTCGTCTCGATCCTTCAATAAAATAAGGATCAAGAAAACAAATTTGATAAGAAATTAATTCTAAACTTAATTATTGAAAAAACAAAAATTTCAAAGAGAGAATTTAGAGATGGGATTGAAGAAATACTATAACGAATGACAGCCTTATAAAAAAATTTAAATTTTTTTTTTAAAAAAAAAGCATAACAATGATCTAATGCAAATTATTTTTAATAACTAATAGAAAGAATCTCAAATTATTACTTTTTATAAATATAGTGAAAAAAATTAATTTTGTGAGATTTTTGTGCTACCTTCTCCCATGTAGCCTTTATTATTTCATTATTAAAACTATTCTCATTCAGAGCGATAATTTTTTTTTTTTTATAATCTTTATCATTTGGTAGATTATAACGAATAATAAAAATTATCAAGAGAATGTTAAGAATGTTAAGAATTTAATAGGAGATAAGAAGTTATAGATAAGAGCTTTCATAAGATAAAAAATTTAAAATAAAAAAAGATAATATGTGATAGGAGAAAAAAAAAAGAGTAAATCAAAATAAAGATTTAGATATATATGTTTTTGATAGATATATAAATCAACAAATCATATCTTTATCTAAATTTTATTATTTTAATTTTTTGAAAATCAATTATTTAATCTTTATCTTTATCTGTAGGCCACGAAATTTTTCAATTGTGATACATTTGATCTTAAATTTTAAATTTTATTTTAAATAAGGACAATTAAAAATATCATTGCTTAATTTCAAAGGCAAAGTCGTCAATTTGATAAAATATAAATTAATTTGATAAAAATATTTTTAAATTTTAAAAAATTATTTCTAACCACCAAAGATAAAATGTAAAATCGATAAATCTTTTACACATTTATTTATTTATTTATTTTACTAAATTAATTTTTATTATGTGTTTGAATGATAATCATGTAATGAATGGTTGTTTTTATTTTCATTAATAAGTTTCTATATTTTCAAAAATCAAATATGCCGACACTTTGATATTAATTTTAAATCAACCCATTAAATCAAAAAATCCAAAACTAAAGACATTTCATATATTAAATATATCGATTACACATTAAAAGCCTAACAACCACCCATTATATGATCATCATTCAAATACATAATAAAAATTAATTTGATAAAAATAAATAAATAAATGCATAAAATATTTATCAATTTTACATAATTTTATCTTCGGTGGGTAGAAATAATTTTTAAAGATTCAAAAATATTTTTTGACATTTATTTTTGTCAAATTAGTTTATGTTTTATCAAATTGACGACTTTGCCCCTTGAAATTGAGTAATGATATCTTCAATTATCCTTATTTGAAACAAGATTCAAAATTCAAGGTCAAATGTGTCACAATTAAAAAATCAGGAGCTAAAGTGACACGAGTCCCAACCTATATGGACGGTTAGTGTAATTCTTCCTATATTTATTTATGACAATTTTGAAAATATATATAATCTCTCTAAATTGAAAATATATTATTGTAGGATCTATTAAGTGAGTTTTAATATATGGTGAAATACCAATAAATTCTAAATAGTGATTTTATGAATTATTTGGTCCTCTCTTTTTTTCTTATGGATTCAAAGGTCTCATTCTAATATGAATTATATAAATGGTCAAAATATGAATTTTCTCATAATGTTAAAATTTATTAAATGTAACACTTCAAAAAAACTCCTTTAGTAATTTTTTCATATGTAATATTTTAATATAATATACTAAAAAATTCTTTTAGTATTTTTTCTAAACGTAACACTCCAATCAATGTAACATACTAAAAAACTCTTAAGTATACTTTTTTCAAAAACTCCTAATTATACTTTTGTCAAACGTAACAACGTAAAATTTTAAAAACATTACGTAATGTATTTTTCTCAAACGTAACATTTCAATCAATGTATGTAACACACAAAAACTCCTTAATATACTTTTTCTAAACGTAACACTCTAATATGACATACTAAAAAACTTTTAGTGTATTTTTTTTAAACATAAAAACGTAACATTTCAAAAAAAAAATTTGGTGTATTTTTTTCGAAAATTAACACTCCAATCAATGTAATATACAAATAACCCTCCAATATAACACTACAAAATCACACTAACAGAAATATGAATTTCCATGCTTGATAATCAACACTTCAGTCACCAATTCCTTCAAAAAGAATTTTTCACACCTCACATTTTCATTCCCATCCCAAAAATGAATAAGAAAATTAGATAATGAATCATAACAAGGCATTCACTTAAACTCAAATGGCACCAAATCAAGTAAATATAATTTTTCAAAACAAAAAAAAAAAAACTAATTAGTTCATAAAAAAACTCTTAAAACTGAATGGATTAATATCCTCTCGTATGGGATTTATAGATAAATTGTCCAATAATTTCTATAATTTTTTTTTTTTATCTACTGTTGTGTTCAATTTTTATATTTCTACAGTTTAGCCAAATATTCCTCAGAGCAGCACGTAACATTGTTACACATGCACATCCCACCATCTGTTGCAGAGGCTCCATGCAGGATCCACACCAATAAATAGTCGGATATTCGTATACAATAATGTCGCACACTATACCATTATGACTCATGTTACCATTTATACTTATTTATTTATTTATTTTGGTTACATTTGGACTTTTTTGTGATGTTTTCTTCTTCTGCATATATAGGATGAGTTGCTATGGGCTGCTGCATGGTTGTACAAGGCTACTAACAACCAGTACTACTTGAGCTACCTTGGCAACAATGGTGATTCTCTTGGTGGGACCGGTTGGGCCATGACCGAGTTCGGATGGGATGTCAAGTATGCCGGTGTTCAAACTCTTGTTGCCAAGGTAAAATTTTGAAAACTTGTCCTTCAATTTCTTGATGCATTATTTGATATGTGTGACATTGTTTCATCCACATGGGTAGCTCTGCTTTAATTGTTACAAACATGTTATTAAATGATCTAATTCTTTGTTGGCATGTTTGATTGGAAGGATTAGAAGATTGAGATTATTAATCCGCGGGCCCAATTATTCTATGTTTGTTTTGACATTTTGTTTTAGGATTATCAATCAAATGGATAATTAATCCAACAAATTTGTAGGATTATTAGTAATGGGGTAGGGGTGGGATTGTGAATACCACACTAATTTGATTGGATTATTAATACCTCACTATTAGTCTTGTGGAATCAAACATGGTCTGTCTGTACGGAAGTTTTGAACTTGTAAATGCTTCCTAAACTGGTGTTTGGAGTCAGTGATATGCCAGTTTGAATCTCATCGACTTCCAAAAAAAATAAATAAATTTATAAATGCTTCATTTGATTGTACTTAGGATTTCCCATTCTTTGTTTTGCACCTTATTAATCACTAAATTGTAAAGAGCAGCAATGTTTGGGTTTATTTTCATTTTTGATGTTTTTGTTTTTCGTGTTCTATGAAACAAACAAAAAAAAAATGAAAGTTTGAAAGTGCCTTTTGTTTTCTTTGTTGCGTATAATCAATTACTAAAAATTCAGAAGTCAACTTAAATTGTTTTCTAAAAGGTTCTAGAAGGGAAAAAAAAAATTGAAGATAGTTTTTTACACTGATTTGCCAAACAAGCTTTTCTATTCAGTTTCTGTTTTTTATATTTCTAAGAACAGAAAACGAAAACTATACCAAACCCGCCTATCATATGGCATTTTGAGAAATGACACTTCATGGAAGTTGAGTGTTATGCTTCCAGTATGATGTTGATGAATCCACAGGTCATAAGCTTTCATCTTCATTATGATCAATATAAATTGACCCCTTTCAATCTGTTTCTTGTGGAACTGTTTTATAAAATCAGTTTTCAATGATTTTATTGATTGGGAGCTAAGAAATTGGTTGCATTTGTGTTGTTGCAGCTTCTAATGGGAGGCAGAGCCGGTCACTATGCACCAGTGTTTGAGCAGTACAAGGAGAAGGCAGAGTTTTTCATGTGTTCATGTCTTGGAAAGGGCACTCGCAACACTCAGAAGACTCCCGGAGGCCTTATTTTCAGGCAGAGATGGAACAACCTGCAGTTTGTTACCAGTGCCTCTTTCCTTCTCAGTGTCTACTCTGACTATCTCACCTCCGCCGGGAAAAACCTGAAGTGTGCTTCTGGCAGTGTCTCTCCATCTGAGCTTCTTTCATTTGCCAAATCTCAGGTTGAGACTTGTTATCATCGGACAAGATCAATACATTTTTGGAACTGGGACTAAACTGTCCTTTCAAAAAACCAAACTAAACTATACGATTTGAATCAGTTTGACATATTTTTAAGAATAGTAACTAGTTTGTTAGAAGGCTCTAATTCTTGCAATGTTTGAACCCTCAGGTGGACTATATTCTTGGAGACAACCCAAGAGCTACAAGTTACATGGTAGGCTATGGAAACAACTACCCACAACAGGTCCATCACAGAGCTTCCTCCATTGTCTCCTTCAAGGTCAACCCTTCATTTGTCAGTTGCCGTGGAGGCTATGCCACATGGTTTAGCAGGAAGGCGAGCGATCCAAACCTCCTAACAGGTGCCCTTGTTGGTGGACCCGACGCTTATGACAACTTTGCTGATCAAAGAGACAACTATGAGCAAACAGAGCCAGCTACCTACAACAATGCTCCTCTTCTTGGCATTTTAGCAAGACTACACGGTGGACATAGCGGCTACAACCAGCTCCTTCCAGGTATATATACGGGTTATAATCTGAAATTTTGTTACTTATTTCTTGATTCTATATAATTAAGAATAACATTTTCTCTTGCTGATAATGTTTAATAAATTTGTTTTACAGTGACCTTTCCAGCCCCTAAAACCCAGCCAAAGCCTGCTCCAGTAACTAGAACCACACCATCTCAGGGTATTCCTGCAATCTCTGTTGGACTTTGTCTAATTCTAGGAAGCACGGACACTTCAAATTGGGTATTGTGTCTATGTCCGACATGTATTGGATACCAACACACCATTGATATGCGTGTTCACATTTAGACACGGCACATGAGGTGTTAAATATTTTTTAGTTATTATTTTTTTGCATGACACTTAACAGATACATGTGTCCTATGTTTAGACATGCCTACAATTTTATGGATTTTTTAAAATAATTTTAGAAAGCTTATTTGAGTTCAAAGTAAAGAAACAAAAAGATGGAAAGTGAAAAAAAATAAAAATACACATATACATTGATGTCTCTTATCTTTATACCCAAAATTTATATTTATAAAAATATATTTTTTTTTTGGTTTACCATATCCCCAATGTATCTTTTTTTTTTCTTTTCAAAATTGTTGTGTCTTGTGTCTATGTCCGTGCTACTTAGGTCCAATGGTTGGATGCATTTCTTGTGGCTTGTAATTCCAAATGTTCATCTGATATGGGAATAATTAAATCTAATGTAATTTGCTTGTTTTGCAGTTTCATCTTCCGCACCCATTGCCATTGAACAAAAGATGACAAGTTCATGGGATTACAATGGCAAGACTTACTACAGATACTCCACAACTGTGACAAACAAGTCACCCAAGACACTGAAATTTCTCAACCTTTCAATCTCCAAGCTCCACGGTCCTCTGTGGGGCCTGACAAAGTCAGGCAGTTCATATGTTTTTCCAGCATGGCTCAACTCTCTACCAGCTGGAAAGAGCCTAGAGTTTGTTTACATCCACTCTGCCTCTCAAGCTGATGTCTCGGTCTCAAGCTACAATTTGGCCTAAAATTACGAAAAGAGGTGGCTGACATGGGTTTTTCTTTTCTTGGGTTGTGATGCAAGAATTGGGATTGTGCAGCTATACAAGATGCAATTTGGAAAGGGATTTGTTTTTTTAAGTTGTAATTTTTCAATTACTTGTTGCTTTGGGATTGAGAGTAGGTTTGCCGATGGAATGTAGGAGGGAGAAAGGCGTGAAGAGATGATTAAACAGGTGTGCTCATCCTCTTTCTCCTCCACTTCAGTAGTTGTTAGCATTGATAGTTTTGAGACAGATAGGGCAAGTGTGAATGTTGAGAAGAAAATCATTTCTCAGTCTGAAAAAAAAAAATCAAGGAGATTTATTTTTATTTTTATTTTTATTTTTTTTTTTGGGTCCTTCAGAAACAGCTTTGAGTGCTCTCTCTCATGTAATTGTATTTCCAAAATTTCACATTTGCAATATGAATATAGTTTGTGCAATGACAAAAGATTTCTCATGTTTATCATTTGATTGATGAAGTTTGGTTTATGTATTGAATTCTTTTTCTTGGTATCTTTGTCTCAGGTTCACATTATAATGAAGTGCTCCAATCTTTCTATGCCTGTGTTCCTTGGCCATTTTTATATAAAATATAATGTTTTCTAAACAATTTTAGGAAAAATATATCATTAAAAAAAAATTAGACCAAAAAATGATTGTTGAGTCGGCACAAATAGGGACCAAATCTTAATATTCCAGTTCTCCCAATTGGATATCTGGTGACTGACCAATACAACCTCAAGTATGTACCTGCAAAGTAACAATAATGATAACAATATCTTCAGAGAATTACAAAAACAATTCAGGATTTAATTAAACCTTGGTGTTCTAATTTTTCATATTAAACCTCTCTGTTTTTAAATTGATACAATTTGAACAATCTGTCCATCCCTGTCTAAAGCCAATAAACCTCTCTTTTCAATACCAAATTTATCTTTCAACACAAAGGATGGAAATTTCCTTTTCTTGTGTCAAAGACTAGAAAGATGAATAATTAGAGAAAACACAGCTTCGATAGAACTGAACAAGATTTGGTTTTGGCATGCATTAATAGAACTTTGAAAAGTGAAACTGAATCCAATAAATTAACATGATTGGTGCCACATCGGTTTGTAAGTTTTGTTGATTTGTATAGCACTAATCATCAAGGTTACACAAGTAACCAACAATATATACAGTTTCAAGAAAGAGTGGGATGCCAAAAAGCCAAAATTGGCAATAGCATCGAAGAATGAAGAACCTTTTTTAGGGCTGTTAAAATTTAGAAAACACCATCTTCACGTAGTTTGCTTACTTTGTACCCTTGTACATGTTGTCAACAATGTTCTGCAATGCAACACAAAGATTTCCCCTTAGTACTGTGCCACCCAAAAAAAAAAAAAAAAAAAGAGTACTATAAAGTAGTCATAAACAGAAACGACAAATTAACAAATTCCAAAAAAGTTGATTGGAAATTTAAGTCAACTAAAAGTTCTTGCATGGACTAGTTGCTTGGCAGATGGCAACATGGAGTGAACTAGAAATCTCCAATGTTCAAACACTCATGGCCAAGGGCGGAACCAGGATTTTAACTCCAGGGGGGTCAATTTTTGGCTTTTCTTCTCCACAGATTATTCTAATACATATTTTTCTACAATGAAATGATTTCCTCCCGATTCCTCTCAAGTCTCACCGGAAAAAAATTAGAATTCTAATACACATTTCACATATTTCAAAACATTTTTGGGTCAAAGCATCTAGTCAATGAACATAGTACAATGGCATGCCATGAGATTCCTTGAGAGAATCAAGAAGAGCTACCTGGTAGTATTTGAGCAACTGAGGCCTCTTCTTCTTGAATGTTGGGGTCAGAAGGTCACGCTCCATGTCGAATGGCTCGGGGTCAAGATGAACAGCTTTTATAAATTCAAACCCTTTCAACTGCCAGGCACATCACAAAAGTTTCAGAAATCTTCTGGAAGTAAATAACGTTTTCTTCCCCTCTGCTAACTCAGATTATTATTCAATTATCAAATATATATATATATATATAGTGGTTGGAAGTGTAAAAGACACAAACCTTCTTTTCCTTTCCAATCCGTGTGAGCTCTACAAGTACGTTTTGTTTTGCCTTGGGATTTTCACAGAGGGAATTGAAATCCCCAGGTACACCATTTTCTTCAGCCCAACGTTCAAGTACTTGCTTATTTGGGTTTACAACAGCAACAAGGAAAGACTCAAAGCTGTTCCCATATACCCATATCTGAGATTGAAATTCAGACATAATCAAACACAAGAAGATTCTGGAATAAACAAAATGTTCAATCTCCTAGCCCCAAGTACAGGCATAGATTTGACCATTCATTAATGCTGTGTTTGGTTGGGGGATTTGGGGAGAGATTTGGAAAGGGAAATGAAAAAGGTATGTGAAATATGAAAATGCTCAAGTAACATCTCCAAAATTTACTAAAAGAATTTCCTTTTAATAATTTTTTTTCTTTAACTTTTAAATGTTGTTGAAGCCATTTCCAATTCTAGTACATGTAACTATTCGTACAATTTTTCAAAAGAGTGGAGTTGCAATAATAATAGAACAACTTCACCGTTGAGCCAAGTACCACCTCATGAATTACAAGTTATGATGCAAAATGTTTAAAACCAATAGCATAATTTAAAGCACATCCGCTATTTTCACTCGTAACTTCAAATACATCGCTGTTACATCATTTGGATTGGTCTTTTTGTATAAAAATTATATTTGTAAATCATTTTCTAAATTGAATCAATTGATATACTACCTTTCCATCTTTGGACAAAAGCATCAAGCCATGCACCAGTTAGATTGTAGTAATTCTCTGTCTACTCCATGGGGACCTTACATGTTATCACCTCCAAAATTTCATGATCACTTATATGACCCTACCAATGTTTTGAAAGACATTCAGTTATTCATGGACCTATAAATCTCCCTCAGGATCTTTGGGACCCACACACATGTGATTTGTGTGGGTCCCACACCCATGTGAGAGGTTTGACAATTTATTTAGTAATTTACTTGGGGTCCCTAGCATAACTTTTAAAACAATATCAGAAACAAATCCATGCTCTCATCACTAGAAGGACATTGTTGGTAATATCTACAACGAATACATTCCATATTTGTTGACAACAATTGGAATGCTCACAGAGACAAAACTGAAACTTATATTCCATTTATATATTTACAATAGTTCAGAGGCATACCGAGTCAATACCAGTAACAGAACCATAAACATTCTCCAAGTTTTCAACTGCAACGTATTCTCCTTGTGACAGCTTAAAAATGTTCTTCTTTCGGTCAATAATTTTCATGCTCCCATTGGGCTGCCACTCACCAACATCCCCTGACACAAACATTGTTAGGGGCAGGGTTGACTAAGAAAGAAAATTATGAGCACTATATCAAATTAATTATGAAAGACACTGTCGTAGACAAACCTGTGTGGAGCCATCCATCAATCAGGACCTCTTTGGTGAGGTCTTCACGTTTGTAGTACCCTGAGAACAAGGTATCGCCCCTTATACATATTTCTCCGCGTGGTGTGCTTGAGAGGGCATCATATCCCATTTCAGGAATAGATTCTAGGCACACATCCACATTAGGCACTGGAGGACCAACAGTACCAAGCATACCCAGCTCATTTGGTAGTGAGACAAATGTTCCCGCACAGCTTTCTGTGAGACCTACATCACAGAAAGAAAACAAATTAAAAAAAAAAATTAAGTTTACTGTATGATAATGGATATACAATGGAAGATACCAGTGCTGAATCAGTAGAAGTCTCTATTCATGGGCAGAAACAGGGGGAATATGGCACTGAGGTAATGGATTTAAAGAAATTTCATCAAACTTTCTCAGATGCCTTCAAAGCGAAGTGTAATAGAACTCATTCCCAAGTGGAGTTTAAGCAACAAAGAAACATATATCAGCAAGCTGTCTCAAATAGGCTGATAAGTAACAAAAACCACTTCCAAAGGGAGGAATGAGTGAAATTCAAATGTACATGCTAAAAAGGCAGATAAAATAAGTTAAATTGATATGTACAGATTTAAAAGGACAACATACCATATCCTTGCAGAACATGACAACATGCCACCACTCGTAGAAAAGCTTCTACATGGGTAGCAAGAGGTGCTGCTCCAGATAAAATAAGCTGTACATTTCCGCCTAGCCCATGCTTTACCTGAGAATGGAGTTAAAAGAAATGAAAGCCACATTAAAGATTAAGTTTTGTATATATGGTCCCATGAGAAAGTAAAAGAGGAAAAGAAGAATGAAAAGCTGCTACAAGAATATGCCCACCACCTTATTGAAAACAATTTTGTCACAAAGTGGAGCTGCATCTACATGTTTACTCCCCTTCTTCATGTTATGTAGCTTGCCGCAGCATTTGTTTAAATGCAGATAAAAATGAGACAGCACAAAATAACAACAAATTAGCTACCTTACAATTAAAGCAAACGCTGTAGAAAAATCCAAGTCCCTGTAGATACACATAGGGTAGCCACAGTTTATGTTTCGTACACATGATGCATAAAGGGTTGCGCCCCCTTTTGATTTGTGCCTTTTAATACAAAATCTATCTTATAAAAAAATGCATGATGAATGAGATGACACTTGAAATAGGAAGTATAAAGTACAGAGTTCTGATCTTAAAAGGGTAATTTCAAGGTTATATAAATACAATGAGAAACAGAATTAAGAACATGAAATTGTTCCAAAGGAAAAAAATGACCAAAATTTTGGAAGAATTGAATATCTAGTCACAAATTTTTGACCAATCAATATATGGTTGCGATGATGTCCTTCAAGAAGTGATGAAAGGTCTTCAGTTGAAAGGGTTAATAAATAAAATAGAATCTTCAAATGAAAAGAAATTGATGTGGGCATAAGTGATTCCACAAGATATCCCTATTATTCTTTTCTTTTCTTTTCTTTTTTTTCTTTTACTAGGAGGTTAGAGATGCGGAGTACAAACTTACTATGAGTCTGCGAAGTTGAACATAGTATTTTTTAAGAGACCCCCAGATGAGATCTTCTGTTGCAAACCTGAAAATAAGAACCGGAGTTCGAGAATAAAATGCATGAAACTTGAAGTTATGTTTTGCACAGAATGAAATTATGAAAGAACACTATGTGCCTCTGAAATGAGCACCATTGTATTTAAATTTAACTCTGCGCTCATTAACCATTCTGTTTCTTGTGTTCTCTATTCATATTTTAATAGTCCCATGGCAGACCAAAATAAAAAATTATCAAAATTTAACAACTTAAAATACACTGAATTTGTTTCATGCTTTCTAGAGCATAAATGTTTTTGGAATTAAAACAGAACACAAAAATAAATCACTAACATTAAATCTTTTACTGTTTCATATTTTAGTTGATTACTGTGTGATGGATCAAAGCCACTGTAGTTGATTAAAGCCATTGTGTTTCATTATCTGCTACCGATGAAAGTGTCCCTTTTAGGTTCTATTTTGCTCAGAACATGTACCAACTCGCATTTGCATCCATTGAGAAAGAAAAAACTTACCTGCATAAATTCTATCCAGTACTCGGGGAACAGCACAGAAAATAGTAGGTTTCAGCTCACCAATATCTTCAGTCAATAGTTTGACATCCTGAAGATGTAACAAACACCGAATTGTTACATTGAACTCTAATGTGGAAGGAAAAGAATTGGTAGTCATATTACCCCTCGCCAAAATCCTATTGAGCCGCCAATATTGATAAAACACTCTTCAATCACTCGATCAAAGATATGTGCCAGAGGAAGATATGAAAGATATACTTCCTTTTCAGTCAACTGTAAAATTTTCAAATGGATGTGCAAGAAATCCTAAATAAAGCAGAATAATTTAGATTAAATCAAATAAATAGCCTGCCACGTAGATTTATGAATGTAAATTGATTCACATGCTTACCAATTCATGAACGCTCCCTAGCAGGCACCTCACCCCAGCTATAAGAGTAACAATGCTATTATTGGAAATCAGAACGCCCTTTGGGTCACCAGTAGTGCCACTAGTATACATTATTGTACAAATGTCACTTTTCTTTTTTACTGGAGGATCATACTGTTTATCATCTCCCTGCAAAACCGATAGGGTGAAATTCAAATCGAAGTAATAAATAGTCAATGGAAGTATCATCCATACTTAGCCCCCCTTGGGGAAATGGTATCAGATCAATTGGTGATTTATAAAAAATTTCCAATTCAAGAACAGATTTTTTTTAGGGATGCACCACATAATATTTGAAATTAACATTCAGTACTAGAGACAACGTATATATAGCACACATCATTTCAAGTGCAAAATGCCTCAGATTTAACCACAATTTACTTCAGAGCACCATCAGATTTAGTCAATAGTACTCAACCTATCCTATAACCAAATGTAATTGAAGTAACACGATGGAAATAACTGGATCTTAAAGTGAAACATATTTTGACTTTTGACCTTATATCATAACCCTGAACCAATACGACTGCCTGCCTGCAATATGGAAACACACCAATGCCAGTGACCACTTGTGCCAGCTGTCAACTCCAGCACATCATCTAAGTTATCCTCAAACCACTTTATTATTAGATAAATAAGGATCCATAAAATGCAATAAAGTGGCACAATACAATGATTTTTGTAATACAAAATGTGCAGTATGCCATCCAACATCCCTGCTTTGAATTCAACAAATTATACACCAATCAATTTCCATTTAAATCATATAACTGCTAGTTTCTTGAAACAAATTTCAAGTGGTACAATAATGGGCATTATTCAAAACCAAAAAATTATTAACAAAACAACCAGATATGAAATGAATAATGGATTAACAGAAGTAGCTTACCAATAACAAAAATTCATCCCAAGCATATATAGCCAAACCAAACTTTTCAACTTCTTCTTTTTGTTCAGGACTAACCTTGCCAAAGCTCACAATTGCTACATGAAAAAATGAATACAGTATTATTTCTTAATGCCGCATGCAAATGCAAACTGAATATTGTATCAAATACAACATACTTTTCAAGTATTTCGTTGCACTAGGAAATGTTTTCAGCACCTGAAAAGGCAGAAGAAAAATTAAGACGCATAATCCAGACATCCTATTATATTTCGTTCTATTGCCACCATCTTAGCACTAAACACAATAAAACAACTACAACAATAAGTTGGGCAGAAATGGACCTTTCAGAGTATTGAATTATAAATGACGTCACATAGAAGATGCACCAAATTTTGGTATCAACTTGAACATATTCATCAAATCAGATCAAGATACATCCACGAATATCTCATAACAACCTTAGTCGGGACACCAATCATAAAATGAAAACTTGTGTACCTCAGGTATCTTTTTCTCTTCCACAAAAGCAATAGTAACTTCTGCATGGCATAAAATAAATTCTACAGCACCAGCACCTAAACCATGGAAGAGAAGTGGTCAAGCAACATTACATTTATTATCATACTACAAAAAAATAATAATAATAAAAATAATTAAATTATATATATAGGCGCTGTTTGGGAAAGGCAGGTTCAGGCTATTATAGCCTCATTTCAATTTTAAGCCAAAAAGCATGAACAGTAGGGCGGAGGTGCAAAACTCAAAAAAAGAATAAATAAATAAATATAGGCCGGCAGTGCTGTCACTGTGACAGAGCCTACCACTGTCACAGTGACAGGTAGGGAAATTACCATTTCGCCCCTTTATATTTATTTTGAAAAATGTGAGATTAGGGATAAATTTGTCATTTTAACTTTAAACATCATTTCAACGCATTTTTCAATACACCAACTCAAATAAAAATCTATCCCATCTTCCCAAACACAAAAACTAAAATAGCCTACTAAAATAGTCAAAAAGCCAAAAAGCCTCTAAAATAGCCACTTCCCAAACGAGGCCATATATATATATATAATACAACAAAAATAGCTATTATACAACATGGAAGAATTTTAATTAAACACATAAGGCGAAAATAATAATATTCGCATGTTTATGGATTCAAAAGAAGAGATAGTACATACCTAGGGTATCATATAAAGGAACACAATAAAGGCCATGAGCATTGCATGCCTGCATTAGTTTTTAGTGTTAAAAGAAAAGTCTCAAAAGAACTGCAGAACATGCTTTATAACAACAATAACAGCAATGATGTCTAGGTGGCAAAAAATGCCCACATATAGGGGAACACCACAAGGAAAAATGAGATGGAATAAGAGAATAGACAAAGGCAATTTGTTGCTGTCTTTCTGTTAGATCATAAAACCAGATGACAATTCCATGTTTCTTCTTTCCTTACTAACATTCTGCAGTGACGCAAAAACTAAATATATCCAGCATACAACCCACCCACAAAGGAAGAATAAAAAGTAAGATCAACTTCCAGCAATGTAAACTATAACACAATGGATGATGACATAAAATTTTCTTCAGAGGGTTTCTCTATGACATATTAAGAGTACAGAATGAGTGAAGTGAGAAACATATGGGCTACATGTGATATGGACTTTAAAAGTCAAATTAGAGAATGGAGATAAATATGGGGAGAGATATTACTGTCATCATGAATACTTTATCAACTACAACGTTGTTTGGAAGAAATCTATGAATGAACAATGTGTACTTAATTCACTCTCTCTAACTTAGAATTGAGAGGATGAGATGAGGTGAAAATGTGAGAATAGTATATTTTCTGTTAAATCATTCAAATCAATTTTGGCAGCAGATCTAGTAGTTCTTTTCCTTGGGAAAATATTTAGAAGGCGGAGGTTACCCCAAGGTTTCTTTCTTTGTGTGGACAGTAGTGCTTGATGCTATCTAACCTTTGACAACTTGCCACAAAGAGAAAGAATCAATGGGCTACTTACTCTTTCACTGCGAGGTGGCAAGAGAACTCTATACTTTTCTCAATTTTTGGTGTTGCATAGATTATGCCAGTATAGGTCTGCTTCTATTGTTAAAATCAGGATACTGCTTGGGATTAGTGAGATGGTCTCACGGATAAAATTGTAGGATTGGATCAAGGATCGTAAAATTTCACTTTCTTTAGAAAATATGACAAAAATAACAATAAGGATGACGCATATTAAAAAGAATGTGAAAATCACCAGCACAAAGATTCTAGTAGCAATGCTACCTATGATCCTACTACGATCATATACTATCCTGCATGATCCCACACCATCCTATACAATCCCACACCATCCGACACAATCCCACTTGTAATCGTACTATGATAACAATTTTACAACAATTTGTGGATTGTTTTGGCAATTTAGGATCGTTCCATTGATTTGTTCCAAAGCCACCCGCAATGATGAAGGGCTTCGAAGGGGTAGGTCAATCAAAAGTTACTTGTTTTGATTAGTAAAAAGTAAAAATTATTTAGTCAACAATGAGAATTAGTAATGAGCCACTTTGGATCATAAAATAAGTTAACTAAATGCTTATGTATTTTTCATTAAAGAGTTAAAAAACAAAATATTAAAGATGATCTACATCTTCACATGAATAAAAATATGCTTAAGAATTTGAACAATGGCCATCAGCCTTCCAAACTGCCTATGATACAAATCTAAATTTGTCTCATTGGTTCAATGCCATCATAATGGTGAAGAGAAGAATCCTTTGGAAATTGGAATCACCACAGAAGACAGAGATCAGAGGCCAGAGTAGTAGCCAGAAAAAGAGGTACAATGGAGAGCACTTCACTCAACCCTCAAAGATATAGCTTACCTCCGGCACAGTTGATGTGCAAAGAGATCGAGTCAAGCTGCATCCAAATTGGTACAAATTCTTAATAACAAAACTCACTATAACCGCATGTCAAAGTTAATTTTTCAGTTATTGCATTTTTTTTAATCGGTGAAAGTGTAGTTCGCCAAAGGATATCAGCAACAATGAAAGAAAGCCTTAATGCAATCAATGAATAGGATATCCAAGATAGGATATCAAGACCGAAACAATCAAAATATTGCAAGAAGGCGACAAAGTTATCATAGGAAACTTACAGCAGTCTATGAAACAAAATAGGAAAAGAAGGGTTTCGTCAATGAGATTGATTTTTATTCAACACAACTGAACAAGAACTAATTTGAATTCCTTTGAGTTGAATTTTGATTGAATGTAATTTTTTTCCTTTAAACCAAATCAGTAAACGATATTGAAAAGGATAAAGGAAGGATCATGATTTTGTGTTGCAAAATTCTAAACATACATTAAATTCAGACAAAAAACTTGACAATAATGATGTGGCAATGCCATTATTGTAAATAATTCTATCTTCAATGGTGTTTTATTTTGAAGTGAAAGGTTCACAATGAACTACATCATTATGTATGAAAATTATGTATGACTTTTTTATTTGTATAACATTACTCTTTTGTGTTTTAGTACCAAGAACCCAAAAGGGTGACCCAGACAAAAGATAGAGCAAGAAAAAGAGGGTGGGGGAAAGAGGAAAAAGAAATACCTCCATGCTCATAATCCACTCTGCACAATTGCCACCATAGATACCACATCGTCCTCCCTAAAACAAGAAGGCAACATATTCAAAACAGTAAGGTTCACACAATTCACATTTTTTATAGTAGTTCTTCAATATTTTCCCCCTTTTGCCTCATTCAGGGAGAAGGCATGCAAAAATTTGTGGTATCAGCAGTATATATTACTTAAATTAATTGTTAGCAATGAGAAAGATGTGAATTTAATAGATAGTACTACGCAATATAAATGCACGAGGGTTTGAATAGAAATGCACAAAGAAGGCAATAGTAACAAATGCAGACATATGTAGGAGAACAAAAGCAAGAAGAAAATCAAAACAATATTCTGAAAACAAAGTAACAGCCATGATAGACCTGTTGTACCTAAGGTAGATTGAGATAGGCAAACCGTTGTTTATATATAAGCTTGAGATAAGTCATCAGAATAGAGTTTATATTCAAACCTTCCCTCTGAAAGAACAAACCAGCCTGGGCAGGACTTAATTAGCCTCAGCTCATGATAGCTTCACATTGAAATATATAAATTTTAAAAACACCTGTATTACTAATAAACCAGCAGATAGTCACTTACTTCCTCAACACCAAGGCTGCGGATGGCATTTCCAACTTTTATTACTATGTCATATACTTCTTTGTAAGTTAGCCACACGTATTTACCAGGCTGCAGCGAGAGCAATAAATGTAATTATTAGCTAAAAGTTCAAATAAGTTACAACAATAGAAGTCATGCACAAATACACATAACATGTTTACCTTCCCATCCACAATCTCCCGACGACCAAGCATTGGATTACGAGGATATTTCTCCACAGACATGCTGCAACAGGAAGACAAAATACTATTCAGAAACACAAACAGGAAGAAACTCAGAAGAATATAGATCACCAAAAAGAAAAACTTCTTTTACAGTCTAACCTGTAAAAAAAAATCATCTCAGCTGTATCTTACAGTTAGAGGAAGCACAGAGCTGGTTCAGAAACTGTTTTCAGATAGAAACTTCCAATAAAGCTTCTTAAAACTACTCTAGACAATAGAATTTATGTACAAGCACATGCGATTACACCGCTGGCTAGTTTATTTGAGTGTACGTATGTATGTATAGAGCAATCCGTTTCTTCTTCATACAATTTATCCAAACTCCAAATAGCGATCTCAAATAATTAGTTTGATTTCCATAAACTAAATCAGTTAGAAAAAGTAAAAAACTATTACGATCCACATGAAACAAGCAAAGAGCAACACAGAGTGAATTCATAAGCCACTTCAAACAATCAAAACAGAGTAGAGTACCAATGCAACATTCTATACGTATGTATGTATAGAGCACTCCGTGACATCTCTTCACACAATTCACCGAATTCAAATAATCAGTTTGATTTCCACAAACTAAATCTGTTAGAAAAACTAGAAAAATACTACGATCCACATGCACAGAGTGACACACAGAGTGAGTTCATAAGGCAATTCAAACAATCAAAAACAGAGTAAAGTACCAATGCAACATTCAATAAGCGAATCAAAAACTCATTCGTCATCATAACGTGAGTGTTTAGAACACATAATTAAACGCATTTGACAGAAATTCAAGGAATTAGAGTTTGGAATTCATTTTCGGAGAGAGAAGAAGAAGAAGAGAAATGCTCACCGGAAAATGTCCCAACAGCTATCCATTCCACCGATCGGGGGAGGAAAACCATCCTTGGCGAATAAACTGCGATAAACAGGCCCGATCGAAGGCCTCCCTTCCTCCGCCGCCTTCGCCGGCTCCACCTCTATCAGAAACCTGTCCTGCGCCATATCCGATCTTTCTTTCTCCAACAAATCTCAAAATTTTATGAATGAGAGAGAGAGAGAGAGAGAGATTATATGAGACAACCAGTAGTGTTGACTTGAAGATAAATCAAGAGGAGAGAAAGAGGGGGTTGGGATCGGCGAGGGAAGACGTGAAGGGTGTGTTTCATTCGGAGGCCAAAATGAGTTATTACTATTAGGGTTAAATTACAAATACATGTTTGTTTAAAATGCAAATTATTTTTTGTAATTTAAAAAACTATAAATATTTTTTTATCAAAATTTTGATGCCGTTGTCATTTTATTTGACTCTAAATACATTTTTTTTTTTTTTGTACTTTTTATACATAATTATTATTTTTACTTAACTTCGTTCAAAATATACTTCTTCTTATATATAATAAGGATAAAAAAATGAATATATTTAGAACAAAATAGAGTGATTCTTATTTTTATTTAACTAAAATAATTAAAAAAATAAAAAAATTAATTGTACTTTTATACAATAATAAACTTATATTAATTATTAATTAAAATAAATTTATAATATCATTAAAAAATATTAATTAATTTGATAATTTATTAATAAAATAGACTATTTATTAAGAAATTAAAAAAATTAAAAGGCTAGATGTAATTTTTAACAGGTATTTAAAGACTGGAAATGTAAAGACTGAAAAGAAAATATATGAAGTAAATGACAGGTTTGTATGATCTGAGTCCGTCCTTTTTTCTGGGGGCTGCCCTGCTATTTATACTCGTCAGTGATGACCTTCGAACTGCACTTCGAACCGTCGAACTGCTCCTCCATGATCGCTGATCATGCTTCCTTACAAGTAGCTCCATTACGCCATTACTGGCAGTTGAGCTTCCCTCTTATACTTAGATTTGAATATGAGTAACCGTTGAAGACACGCCATCTTGCATCCCGTTATTTGATCTAGTGTTACTCAGATCATGTGAGGACCAATATTTATTGGCACGTGTACGATCAGGATTAAAGGCTTGAATAACCTTCCTTTATTACCCTTACTATGCCACGTGTCGAACTGCAACTGGCTTTTACAAAATATGTAGCTAACAATTTTAAATCCCTAATATCACTCAATTTTATTTATTTCTTTCATCTTTCTTCTCTCAATAATTTTTTTTTTCCAACTTTACATAGTCTGAAATGATCTTTTACAAAATAAAATATGTGAGAAAAACTAATACACTATTATAAAATGGGTAAATTATAAATACACTCTTGAGATTTGTTTAAAATATAAATTACCACATGTGATTTGAAAATATCTCACTGTTATAATTTTTTATTTAACATAATTAATTGAAAAAAGTAAAATTTTTAACTATTCATCTATACAATAATAAAATTATCTAAATTATTAATTGAAATAAAATTTTGACATTATTAAAAACTGTTAATTAACTTGATGATTTATTAATAAAAATACCTATTTATTTTGAAATTAGAAACTTTAGAGGACATAATGTAATTTCCAAAATCATATGAAATAATTTATAATTTAAGTAAATCTCAAGAAATGTGTTTGTAATTTACGCTTATAAAATTATTTATTATACAAAATATAACGTTTTAATGACTACCTTCATAAAATCATTTTTTGTTATTACCATCTCCATTACACTATTCTTAGTCTCTTCACCACTCTTCTCGTAACCCTTTATCGCTTCACTTTCAATACTCGCGCAATTCCTCCTCTCTTCTCATGTGGATGAGTTTGGAGTTCACTATTTTAGTGACTTTTGTGGGTGTTGATTTCCGACCACACAACCAAAAAGGGGAACTCAGTTGGAGAGCACAGGTAGAATAGATGAAGTCCAAACAACCTATCACAGAAAGATAAGAATCCCATGGTGGTTCGTCCACTCGGTGGCACTCCGATGATCAAGTCAGTAAAATATCTCTCAAAGATAACCAATAGTGCTTAACTCACTAGACTAAGCATAAAAGACATACCTTAGACCCATGAGGGTGCCTCCATTTTATAGCCAACACAATCCTAGTTCCAATAGAAGCCTAGCTCTAATAGATTTTGGATTACTGCTAATCTTGGACTCCCAGTAGGATTAGGATAAACTCTCTAAGAGTCTTATCTTTACCCAAACTGAAGTCTTCTCCCATTCTAGGACTCTTGTCCTTTATCCGCTTATCTTGGATTCCGATATTCTCACAGATAACCCCGGCCTAGCCGAGATTATTTCAGCATCATGACCAGGACACGTGGCACCCCGGTTGACACTTCAGTGACACCTCGGCCACGTGTCGTCATTCAAAATTTATGTTCCCACAACTGCCCCTAGGTTCTATTACCTTGGCATCCCGAAGTGATGAAACCTATATCATTTCCTCCATTTAGCGCGTCGGCTAAGCTCACTTCATTATTCATTACCGAGGTCATCACTCGTTGGCTCAATATGACCCAGACCTATAGACTGCTTTCATCAATACTTTGGAACCAACAACCAAGTTTGTTCAAGTTTCTCAGCTGAAACGGTCCTCCTAGCCGAGGTATTTGCTTCATTGAATCAAGAACTCCAAGAGTTCCAGCACGTGTATGAGCTGGCACGTACAGTATTTCAACCGTTTTTACCACGCATCTTTCCCCCTACTGAACCATACCTGATACGCACTATCAAGTCGCATCACTTTTGTATGCGCCGTCTGACAAGCACGTCGTCCAAGGCACCATAATTGCCATTTGCCGCCATTTCACGCGTTCGATCAAAATCAACTCTCTCTCCGTCTTTTCAATTCTGCATCTTCGTTTTTATTCAAACTTTTCACTCTCTCCTTCCGGCGAGGCTTTCGTTGTACTTCTTTGCTTACTACCATCATCTGACACCGGCGTACTTCACACCGGCCTTTTTGTAATCTAAACAATCATTCTTCAATGCTAGGCCGAAGTACCTTCTTTCTTTTTCTGAATTCATTCTTTAATTTCTTCTTTCAATGTGGTTGCATGTGTCTTCTTTTTACTCTTGTATGATTCTATACTTAGAATAATTTTCGTGTTTTTAACATACACCTTAACTGTGTAATCTTCTCAGTGTGGAATACTTCAGCTATTCCTACTGACAGCTTATTTCAACTCTAATGTAACACCTGAAAATATTTATCATAATATTTCTACAAGTGTTACTCACAACTTGCCACTTTACTCAAGTCATCTGTCTTCTATTATTTGCAGCATAATCTTGTTTTAACTTTAACTTGTAAATTTTTCTCAAAATTTCAACAAGTGTTAAACCATCTTCCTTTAACATAACTTCGGCTTAACTTCAACTTGTAAATTTTTCTCAAAATTTCAACAAGTGATAAACCATCTTCCTTTAACATAACCTCGGCTTAACTTCAACTTGTAAAGTTTTCTCAAAATTTCAACAAGTGTTCAGCCAACTTTAACTTGTAAATTCCAGCTCCCAAGCGATGATTCCAGCCCTCTGCCCCCTAATGTGAACCTAAGTTCCACTTGGGCTCTCATTAAGCATGGGGTTTTTGACCTTGTCGCCGAGGTCAGATTCAAACAAAGACTGGCCGAGGTTACCATCCTTGGCCTCTTTGTTAATCTAACCAACATGTACTTAGTTCTAATCTATGTCTGGCTTTGCCGATATGGCAAGTCTAAGTTAATCCAACTTAATTCAACTCTATTATATGCAAGTAAAGTTTCTACTCTGCCATATAATAAGTCTAAGTTATTCGTCATGTTTCGCTTAGAAACATCGCCAACTTAGTTCAACTCTATTATATGCAAGTAAAGTTTCTACTCTACCATATAATAAGTTTAAATTATTCGTCATGTTTCAATCAGAAACATCATCATAGGATTGGTCGGTCCTATCGCACAGATTTTAAATTCACAAAAATCAAAATAGTACTTTATTATTACTTCAGCTGATATGCCCTATAGCTGGCAACATTTCTCAAGATGAGGTCCCTATCCTTGAACTCTCTTGGGCTAACCTTCTTGTTTGTAAGCCCTAGCAAGTTATTGCTGGTATGTTCCTAGCCGAATTGTTGTTCTATCGCACGTTGCAGGTGGATTTGAACAACATTTTCACGCTTTTTTACATAGGCTTCAGCTTCCTTTTGCATGTAAGGCCAAAAGAATTCCTACGATAGTGCTCTATGGGCAAGGGATCTGCCCCTACATGGCTTCCACATACTCCTTTGTGGACCTTATATAAAAATTCTTTAACTTAGGCCGAGTTCTTCTCTTCTCGGACTTAATCATTTAGGCCGAAATCTTGTCTTCTAGGATCTGGGATCTGAGACCTAGAATCCGGGATCTGCTCACTTGGGCTGAGCTCTTGTCTTCTCGGACCTAACCATCTTGGCCGAGATCATGTCTTCTAGGATCTGGGATCTGGGATCTGAGCTCTTGGGCTGAGCTCTTGTCTTCTCGGACCTAACCATCTAGGCCGAGATCATGTCTTCTAGGATCTGGGATCCGGGATCTGAGCTCTTGTTTGTTGTATCCAATGTTATCTCAGCTTCGCTTCAGCGAACCGTTTCTCTTCTCTTGTTTGGACACCTTTGTCCCCGATGTGTCTTCCTCGACTCTGGCATATTTATCAATTCTGGCCATAAGCTCCTTCATGCTTTTTGGTAATGTCTTTACTAATGACCTTCGAAGTGGACAATCATCTTTCAGGCCATTCTTGAAAAACACTACCGCCACCTCTTGGTTGCACTCGGGTATTCGGTTGAATACTTTATAATACCTTTTGGCATAGGCCCTAAGGCTTTTATCCTCACTAATTCTCAGAGCCATCAGGGAATCCACCCTCAACGACTGTAGTTTGTTCGTCACAAACCTGGCCACAAACATCTCGGCCAGGCCCTCCCAGGTTTTCATAGTTCCTTTCGACAACTTGTGAAACCAGTCCAATGCAATTTTCCCGAATGACGAGGGGAACACTTTGCAGAGCAACGACTCATTCCCGATGTATAATGCCATCGAGTTCAGGTACAAGCCGACGTGAAAGTTAGGGTCCGACTTACCGTCGTATATCTGGAATCTCGGCATATGGAACCTCTTCGTGGCTTCAAATTTGTCTAATTCTACCGAGAACGGCGTTCTCGGCTTGACCGGGGAAGTTACCTTGGCTTCTTGCTGCTTCCTCTGGAGGTCATCCCTCAGACCCTCCTTGGTCCGT